ACATTGATGACATTTCGGCGCCAGGTCAAAACCTTCCTGTTCCAGAAGGCTTTTAATTGAAATAACATCAACTGTGGGTCCTAGTGGCAATTTTTAGAGCCTATATTTTAATCGTATTTTAAATTTTTTATCTTTTTTATTGTATTTTAATTGTTTTAAGCCGCCCAGAGACCTCTGGGTAGTGTGGGTGGCACATAAATAAATAAATAAATAAATAAATAAATAAATAAATAAATAAATAAATAAATAAATAAATAAATAAATAAAGCTTTTAATCTTGTTTAGGATCTGTAGATAGAGAATAGACTTGAATTATGTTATGCTGATTGGTTTTCCTGTAAGTCTGATGGATACTATTCTGTCAGACCTTGCATTATAGCCTCTAACTGCCTGTGTTCCATCTTGCCTCCGTTCTCTTTTAGTGATGTACCCATTACTCCTAAAGAAGGTGGATGCATCTTAGTCTGCTGCCTCAGCTATGAACATTCCACCATGAGTGGCACTGCTAGGAGTCCAGGCTTGTAATGCCGTCTGGTCTCCTGACAACCATTGCCCTTAGCTTCACTGATACATTCAAATTCCTCAACACATTAAGGTGTGCATCTAAGAAGAGGGAAAATAGTAGAATAATAAATTCATATTTAGTTAGAGAAATAGGTAGGAATTGCCTACCTAAGAGCACATTCATAGTCTAAAACAGGGGAATAACTATGGTTGTCCAGCTGTTTTTTCCTTCTTCCCTCTCTGGACAGTTGGAAATTGTAGTTAAGAAACAACTGGGTGGCCTAAAGTCCTTTCCTGGTTCAGAAGGGTTCCCAGATATTCAGACAGTGAGCTCAATCATAAAGTTTTTTGACAGCACACTAAACAGTGAGGTCCTAACTACTCTTATATGCATCCTTCTAACCTCACAGACTGACTACAATGTACTAACCGACTACAGTATAATTTGTCTCTTATCAGCATCATGGAATTGTGCCCAGAAAAAAACAGCCATTTTATTTGATGGAATACAGATCCTAGATGATTTCATAGCTGTATTTATTTGTTTGTTTGTTTATGTCCTGCCTTTCTCGCCAAAAGGGAACCAAGGTGGCTTTATCCCCTGCCAAACTACAGGTTGACATTTTTGCACCAGCTCTGAACAATGTTCAGAAACATAAGAATTGCTCTGTTCAATAAATCACATCAAAGTCTTTTTAGTCCAATATCCTATAAGTCGACAGAGAGGTTCTTTTAAAGTTCTCAAAGAGGGAATGAAGGTTTTAGCACTCCCTGTTGTTCATAAACAGCATTTTTTTTATTTGGAGATTTATTGCTGCTGAACATGGGTATGCCACACAGCTGTCTTGGCTAGCAGCTACTAGTAGATTCATCCTTCATTAATTTGCCTGGTGCTTGTTGAAAGCAATCTAAGCTAATGACCACTGCTACTAAGAGATCAACCCTTACACAAAATAAAACTGCTATACAGTTAGTCTTCGAAGTTACAACGCCCACCAGAAATAGTTAGGAGAGCTCCTCTGAGGCCAATCCACAGAAAATATTTCTTTCCTCAGCCAGCTGGAAAGTGGCTTTATAGCTGAAACAGCCAAGTAGCTTTTCAGATCAACTCTTCAGATATAAATTTGCAGGACATACAGGTATGTGGGGCTGCACACTGAAACAAATCTGTTGAAATATGTAGAGGAAGAGTACACAGTAACTCAAATCTCCATCCGGATAAACATTTATAGATTTTTAAAAAATATTTTAGACTAATCAGTTCCTTCCTGTTTATTTTCTACTGATAGCAGAGGACTCCCATATAATATTCTACAATACTATCCAAATTGAAATGGCTAACTAATGGGACCCATAGACTGCAAATGTGTAATTCTGTATCGATTCTATCATTCACATTTATGTTATACAGTACAGCCCATAGACTGCAAATGTGTAATTCTGTATTGATTCTATCATTCACATTTATGTTATATAATCCTATATGTGCTCAGATACAGAAAGGGAGGCAAGTTTAAAAGAGAACTGAAAACTAAGTCTCATTTAGAATTCTAGCTTAATGCATTCTCATCCAATCACAGGGAGTGGCAATCCCTGCTGAATAAGACTTAAAAGCCACTTATTATGCATCCTGAACTAAAAATATGCTGTTTGCCTGCCCACAGCAATAACCCATACTGATAACTGATGCTGATATGCAGCTTGGGTATCCTTAAGCTTGTTGTTGTTAGTTGTGCTGTCAACTGGTATCCAACTTATGGCGGTTCTATGAATATGTGCTGTCAACTGGTATCCAACTTATGGCAATCCTATAAATAAGCAATCTCCAAAACATCCTGTCCTCAACAGCCCTGCTCTTCTCAGCCACAACTGCCCCAAAACACTTTGAGTGACCCCCCTTCGGAGTTATGACCTCCAGGTTGGGAAACACTGCTTTAGGGTAGCCCTGCTCTTCTCAGCCACAACTGCCCCCCAAACACTTTGAGTGACCCCCCCTTTGGAGTTAATACCCCCAGGTTGGGATACACTGCTTTAGGGTGTTAATCCATCTCATATTTGGTCTTCCTCTTTTCCTACTGACTTCAACCTTTCCCAGCATTATCTTTTTTCCAAAGAACCCTGTTTTCTCATGATGTGCCCAAAGGACAGCCTCAGTTTCAACATTTTTGAGTCCATTTTTGAGTTCAGGCTTGATTTGATCTAGGATCCACTTGGTCATCTTTCTGGCAGTCCAGGTATCTGCAAAGCTCTCCTCCTGCACATTTCAAGCAAATCAGATTTTTTTTTCCTGTCAGCTTTCTTTACTGTCCAAATTTCACACCCAGTTAGGGTTATCGGAAATACAAGTGTGGCTCATATTGGTCATGGTCTCCAGTGACATATCATTACACTTAATTATATTTCCTAGTTCTGTTGTTGCTGCCCTTCATAATCTCCGTCTTCTTCTGATTTCATGACTGCAATCTCTATTTGGACTGATGGTTGAACCAAGGTATACAAGATCTATATTTCAGTTTCGGACGTGGACTTGTCCATGGAAGCTCACGTTAAAATACAGTTGTTAGTATTTAAGGTGCCACAATATTTTTGTTTTCTTTCTTTTTTTTTTCATTTGTTTTGTTTTTGCCTGACATCAATTTCTTCATTGCCAATGTTGAAGTTGTGTAGTTCTTCTACAGTCATGATTTTGGTCTTATCTTGAAGTTGAGTCATGGCAACTGACCTTTTTTTGTTAGGTTGAAATGTTTCGCTACTCAAGTATCTTCTTCAGTCTGAGGAGAGTTGGTAGGAGATCCCTGATATATCCTCCATGTTGGTTTCTGAATAGGCTTGTTAGATGGACAAAGGACTGGGGGTGAGTGAAAATCCCACTTCTGCAATCCTCCTCCACCCATTCTCATGGATCATTAACAGTGCTCTTTCTGAACTTCCAGCATGACACTGCGACCAGACAGCAGCAGAAGGACGGAGCTCTGTCCCCTGGGCTGAATGCCGACCTGTTTGGGACCCCCCCCAGGGGGTTAAACCCACCCTAAAAAGGTGGTGAAATGGGGGAGAAGCCTGTTGATCACAAGATGGATGGCAGTTACCCCCATTTGATCTGGGAAACTCCTCAATCAACTAGAGACTTCGCCCCACAGACTTCGGTGCGAC